TGTCCACGAGCTCTAAGAATCCATCCATTTATCCCCATGCCATATAGGTTACTCTTAGTTAAGTTGCAATCACCATGTGGAACTAAAAGCTTCAGCTTCTTTCGGTGGACATAACTCAGAATTTAATTCTGCTATGTTTCTCAGCCCGCTCAAGGGACTGCATCAAAATGACAGACCCTGCGCCGTCGCAGTCCATTCAAGTCCCTTAACCCAACATCGAGGTAGACACTGGCAACAGTTGTCGACTCTTCAGGTGTTTCTCACTTGTACTAACAATGGTAAGTGGTCTGAGAGACCACTAATTTGAACGTGACAGCCGGTAATATTTAAGTTGTTTTCTCAAATTATGGAGAAACAATGCTACTCACAATTCAAATGAGTAGCACGCAACTCCCAAATTTTTCAAATCAACTACTGCTTGTTGAGGGCCAGTGATGAATGATAACGATTCTTTCGTTAGTAATGGATGGTTATTCTACTATTATATAACTGAACTGACAAAGATGTGTCATAAAGCTAGCGTACTTGTGATATGGATAAAATACACTTGCTACCAAATTAGGTAATGGGAGCCCCAACTGAAACACTCGTTTGTACTATCCCTCGAAAGAATGTTGTACAATCTTCCAAGTTTGGTGTATTGAAACGCTTAATTAATAGGAAACTAGTAGAAAATACTCGAAAGTCCAAAACCAGGCTAGCAACTTTTGGTGCTCTTGATGTGAGCAAGTTCCCGATTTCCCATCAGAAAGAGTCCGCAGATTAAGGCAAAACTGAATATGACTGGCGAACTAAACTTATCTTCAAATCACGTTGCTGGACTCAATAGGCCTCCCGCTTAGCCGCAAATCTGCAAAAGCCTAGCAAGACGCTGATTTGTTGAAGAAATCCAAACCTTGATGGGATACAAGTTTGCACTCAGTTTGTACCCAGTTTGTACTCCCTACTCTCCAGTTCGTTTCTGAATTCAGTAAGTTGAGGACATTACCAGTGCTTTACCTTGTAGAGTGGGTAGCGGTGCCGTGCGATATGATGCGTCACTCAAATACTGCCGAATATTGTATGTGCTAGCCAAACTCGATCTTCGATTTTGCTTGAGCGTTTCGATCGCCATTTCTGCTGGACTCCTCATCGGTCTGCTTTCGCCTCAATTTTTGTCAGTTTTATGTCTAACTCTAATTCTCCAACTCATAGTTGTTGGTCGGCATTCGCATGAGGTCGGAACCTGTCCTCTTCGTGTTTTAACCTGGGAATTTCATTGACGTGGCTCCCTTGGAAATCTGGTCTCCCTACGGAATGCTAACGGCATAGGATAACCTGTTTCATCTAACCGGCCTCATATAATTTATTCCTTATCTTGTTTAGTAGCACTTTTGTTTATCTCTAACCCGTTGTAAACTTGCCATAGTAATTTATCAAGCATCTATCCAATCAAAAAGTCCGGTTTCTTGACATTGCAAATGCGATTGGTGACTTATTTTTCACATGTAACCGGGGCATTTACAGTGATTTGTGAAAAATCTCGAGTAATGAATTCTCCCGTCCGCCTTTTACAAATCCGAACAACTTTCAAATTACAAATTCAATAGGACGTAGGTAGTATGTCAGAAATTCAAAAATGTACATTTCATTGTTCTCAATATAATGAAAACTGATATGCGATGGGTCGAAATCGAGCTGTTGAGAGAGGTGTTCCAAAGAGAGAGAGAGAGAGAGGGAGGGAGAAAATGATGTTGAAAATTTACCGTCGAGGGTTTGGGAGTTTTCGTTACCTGTGCTTTCTACGAAAACATACCTACAAACTGCCCTGAACTGCACAGGACCGGTAGCAAAATGCCTGATGTGATTTTATGACGGTGATCCACCTGTACCTCAGTGGGTTGCTCTAATCACACCATTCACGTTTAAAGTGTGCAGTCGCTATACCGTTAAAAAAATATAAACTAGACGTTTACTTAATTCACCAAATTAGGTTTACCTGCCATCCTAGATGGGATAAATTAGGACCAGGAAATGTGTAATTTTTCATCCCAGGGTCATGTTAGATGGTAACATGCAATTGTCAGGTACGCTTGACGCATCTGACCATCTTACGCGAACGTATCACACACCAGACTTTATTTAAACACGCTGGTGAAAAAATGCACCTAGGCAATGCGATAAATGTTCGAGATCAACCTGGGTTGAGTTGATCGATCGATACATCTGGTTATTGGATTTTGATGTGCCCGAGATACAGTAATTTAACAGTAAAAACTATCTGATTCGACAAGACTGCAGCATCCTTCCAATTTCAGTAAATTAGCTAACCAGAAACCATTTCGAATAAGAGGGCGTAAGAGCATACTACTTACCTAAATGTGAATAATGGTGTTGGGCGGCGAAAGTACATTTGTTTTGGTCAATACTGAATGGGATTTCAAAACACTGATGGTTGTTTTAGTCTGCTTGTTCTTTTCACGAAATTAACATATTTCAACAAAGCGTGTTTCATTCAAATAAACCTGTCATTTGTTGTAGAAAAATGTCCAAACCCCTGTAGGAATCTTCGATTACTAGGATAGGTAGACCAAATAGATTTGAAACTTGTCACGGTAAATTTGGTTGGTAATACTGACTGCGTTTAAGTCTTGTGAAACTGGGACCTGCTAAGACCAACCAAAGATAGTTTTTCATTCTCAGTCACATGGTCAGATGAGTGCGTATCGTCGCTTGATGTTGTCCTACTTCCTAGTTGTTATGCGCGCCTGTGGGACCTTACTTTAATCAAGGTCACTTTAGTCAAGGTCATACACGTACGATCAGAAGATGGCTCATGTGCGCGCCTCAAGCAGAAAGAGGTTGATCCACTAGATTAAGTAGCTGTGAAAGCGTCGAAGACCATGTATTTGAACAGTAGGATTGCATGGAATTCAAACACTGTGGAAACTGATAGTTAGCATCCATTCAGTCGGATTGTTGTGACTGCTTTTAGTTCTAGAGACATAAATGAATGCCGGTCTGTTCAAATTAAAGCATGAGCCATTCTGCTTCGTTGCTTTTCCAGTTACAAGAGAGTTGAGCAGTGGTGTTCTCATTCACACGTCAACACGAGGGAGAGTAAAGCATGGATGACTCTTTCATCAACTAGTAACTAAAAATCACACGTTAACGACCACACTTTGGTCTATCAGTTTATAGTCCCAGGAATTTGACCTTGCATCAGTGAAATACTGTATCGACCTAACGTGAATGGACTACGAGGCAAATCCAACCGAAGGCCACTCATTTTGAGAAATCAAGGCCGATGTATGTTTACAAGTGTTCACTTTGACTTACATTGTGAAATAGTTGGACGCCAAGTGTTGCTAGAACGAAGTGTCTAAGTGTGCTCAAATACTGCACATCTGTCTACATTCACACTTCTGCCGCGGGTTCATAGGTTTTCCACAGAAAATTCGGACAAAGCCGACATTCTTCCTATATCCATCACCTTTTCCATACTTCGGCAGATAAACTACTCACACTGAACAAGATGTGTGTGCACAAGGCTTTAGTATACAGTTCCTTTATTCAACCTTTTCAAACCCCTTTGACCTTAAACCTGACCCTATGAATCTATTGTAGCACATCTTCATTTAGCAACCCTACAGTGGTTGGAAGAGATACAATCAATAATTGGGGGTTGTGTCTACTTTTACATGACTGCTTGAAGGGTAAGTGGTTCGCTCTCCTGTTATGCGAGTTGATACTTTCGAGACGAAAACTTTTCCGGTGCATTATTCTCGGAGGAGTATTCAACAACCAATCACCTAGTGATCCAGTATTCGATTGCATAGTATACATGCTGCACGGATCATAAGGCATCTTAAAAACAACGCAGTGGATTTGTGTGCGATTGTGTCTTTCTTAGAACCTGACTAACGTAGACACTAGCGAGTGATAGGGGAGTGTTCCCGAAAATCCGAGTGTTGAAACTTGTTGAGTTGAAAACAATAAAATTAATGATGAATCTGTGCTACCCAAGAAACTGTCAAACCATGTACACATCAAGGAAAAATCAAATAATTCTTCACTACTGTGGAGTTATGCGTCTGCAAATTATTGTGGTTTCTCTGGAAGACTAATCTTATTCACGGCCCAATAAGTGATTCAGTCAAAAGCAAGTTCATAACATAAGAAATGTTTTCCTCAGTTTAGCACAATTTACAGTGTTCATTACCGTTATGATGTTACTCTAAGTTCAAGTCAAACTCTGACGGCTCACCGACGGGTTCGCTCGGATGTGGCCTGATCAGATAGCCGTGATCCTCGTGTTTTTATCAGTCTCTAGTTCTACTTGGTCACCGGCTTATTTACCAAACCTGACTGAACCCAGTTGACAGACCCCACGAAAGTTGAGACGGTTCGTGGAAGGATTTTCACCAAATTTTTTCAGTAGTCTTATATAAAAAATTCCTCTCACCACCTTCATTCACAAGCGAACCTTGAGAACATTAATTTCACTTTTTGACCATAAGATATACGGCAAGTATAAAAATCATCAATGATGTCCATTTAGCGAAAGTGATTGTCCTCACACTGGAAATGCAAAAGCATCCAAGCCTTACTTTGACGTTTTCTGTAAACAGTGGCTTTTGGCCTATGAAGGCTGTCGACCGATACGAATTAGTACAGCATTCACACTGACAAGAACAATGCATGCAAACAATGAGTAGTTTTTTGTCCTCTCAGCAAAACCAAAGACGTCACTGACAGCCACTCACAATGCTTGTATTATGCAAATAGTCAGAAAGAAATGCACCAACAGGATGGATTTTCCGTCACTTAGTTCGACTCACAAATGTGGACGATCGAATTTTATTAACAAGATTATCTAAGCTTATGCACTCATTAGTTCCAGCTTTCTGGCTTTGTGTCACGATCTAAACACAAAATAACACGTATATATGACACAGTATCCACCGATTTTGGTGGTACTCGAATAAGTTTGCTAGCCATTCTACAGCAACCGTTTAAAATGTTTTACACGGATGGTTTTGCCCTAAACTGTTTTTCCAAGGGATAACGCTGCAGTTGCGACTTAGTTATATAAAAGCCATGCAAACAAGTACGACGAATGATTAAATATACATTGGCACATCCACGAAATGCACATATTTAATTGGTCTGGACTGCATCGATTTTCCCTCCATACCATGAGGCTCACACAGCTCTCGTTACTAGTTTTCCCCTCAGTTTGAATTCGGTGTATCGATTGAAACCAGTCAGGTTTGCACAGGCATGTCAGAATGAAGCTTTCAAAAAGTGTCCATATATCTGGCTAAGCGTAGCTAATCAACAACAAACCGAATTTCAGCAACATACCATACCTGCGCTGTACGAACTTCTTTAAAGCTGTTTCTAGAAGCTGTTAAGGGGATGTTTTAAACTTTCTGCTGAGACCAAAACGGTACATGTGGGTTTGCGTCTAACCTGTGCTTTGTTACAATATCCTGGTTAGCATCTAAAAAATTGTGGCCTTTCGGATCGACCTGCACTGCAAAAACTGCGAGCTTAATTCCCTCCTGAATAACGTTTCATGTAAATTAGATGACTCAATATGTGATACTTTCGGGAAAAATCAAGCGGACCACTTAAATGGACATACCGCAAATGGATCAGTTTCAAATTGCCTGTTTAAAAACAAGACTTTGGAGTTAAGCGTAGCGTCTTTTGGTGCTGCAGAAGACAGTTTTTCTTCATTGCTCCCCACCTGATGCTAAAGCTGGGGGTGTTGTCTGGGTGAACCCCATCTCCCCATACATCCCGAGGGGGATAATGAGGGCAGTGGTGTCGACCTTGAAGATGACAAGCGTTACTGAGAGGATATACCAATTGCTCCCTACGCACACATCGTATGGACAGATGGCTTGGAGAGGTAGGGTGTGTCCTAACACAGATATTGTATATAATGAATAAGAACACTGTGTGCTGGATCAAGCTACCTCCGCGTAATATGCTTCAAATTCATTAGTTTCATAGTTCCAGAGGGGATGAGAAAACGAAATGGGAGATTTCTTGAGTGCATTTAACCACTGATACTGACCTGCGGTGTTCAGTTCTTTATTTGATTGAAAGTGTCATTAAAGCAGGTGATATTTTATGCCCATTCGTAGCGTCTTTAATGGTCACCAAGCTGAATGGAGCAAAACGGGTTCACCAACTCATTTTTCAGTTTCTGAATATATTGTAACGCAGCGCCTCAGATTGTTCAAGCTAGTATACTTCCTGTCATCGATCCTTCCAACAGGGCATCAACAGAACCTGTTGGTCCTAACCATGCATTCCCAGAATGCACTCACTTGCAACAGACAGTCAGCAAGTTCAACCGGAGTTGACAGCTCATTCAAGACGGATAAACCAAGCATTTTAAGCGCAGCTACTTGCAAAAGACTGAAACAAGCAACCGATTACAGATCAGCCGCTCAGTCGCGTGTGCGCCATCTCATTTGTGGAGACCTAAGACGCAGTTTTGTGTATAGCCTACGCCAAAGTAAGCAATGATCTGTGTGAACAAATGCATATTTGAACGAACTGTATTTCCATTGAAGCACCCTGAGCTACGCCGCAGAATCAGTCTACACGATTTTCAACTTCAGTATGTTGAATGGCAAAGGTTAACAACAAGCTGACATCAATGATTTGTGCCTTACGGGGGGCTCAACACCCAAATGGATTAGCATTTTTACCGAAAGTGTTTCTCAATCAATGAAGCTAGTATACAGGGCGGATGTTAAAACTCAAAGTGTCGCAACTATCAACAATTTAGCCTCTTCGTTTGCATGCAGGTAAACGCTGCAAATGTGATCGATAAAATAGTGCTTTTAGTTCCGTGAGTGAACGTGCTATTTATTTGTCCTTCCTGGTTTCTAAATCAGGCCAGAGGAACCTACTTTGAATAGCTGCCCTGGAAGGTATCATTTAGTCTTTTTATATTTACATCCTCAGCACTACTCTGGAGAACTCCAATTCATCAAACCCGCATGCTGGATCCAACTTTCAAAAATTTGGGGCCAAATGTGAGAGTAAAGACTCAGTATCTGTCAAAGCCAAGCCAGTCGTATCCTTAAAATTGGTAGTTCGCCGTCCGTTTTCTACGGATTTACGTCACAACACGGGGTGAGATGGCGAGAGTTTCAGGAGCCTCAAGTTGACAGGACCATAAAATGCGTGTACAACAAGCGACTTCTTGGTTTGCTAGCGATCATTGTACAAGCTTTTGTGGTGAATGATGTCTTTGTTGCTTTATTGGGCCACGATTCAGGTTTTTCATTTTTCACTGAGAGCAAACTCCCCCCAAAACGCAGGCCAGTTCGTTGATACAATTCAATAAATCTGAATTTTTCGGTGAAAATTGTTTACTAAATGTGACTAGTCTCGATTACTGAATAAAACCTGATTATCAGAGCGCACTCACCACAGAACTCTTTGGATCCGAACCCCATAGACCAAAATATAGGGTTTTCATATTTTCTTGGGCCATCGTTTTAGCGCTGTAGGGATAAAAAAGATCCCTTCCGTTCTCTAACCGTCCGTCCTCCAGCCTCACACCAACTGCGCGACCGCATAAGCCTGGATAATGAGAATAAGTGAAAGAGCGAATACATTAGATAGATCATCAACATTCCAATGATAATTCTTCCCACGGTTCTGTTTGCCCTAGCGCAATTGTGTCATTTAGAAGGAAGCAGTGGACTAAAGTTTCACTCCTCCAATGCAGATCATTAGCTCAACCCGTATCCGAATCCAGTTGTCCGAAATTTAAGGCAGGTGCTACTCTCCCAGATTAAGCTAGATTCTATAAATGCTCATCTCTGAATAGGTAAAAGTGCTCTCATTTGGGGACTTCATGATGGAAACCGTGGACAGCATCTGGAGCCCTATTGTTGATAGTTGATCAAGCTTTCAAGATCTCTGTGTTACTTATGGACGATTGTACTGTGATTTATCGAAAACTTTTGTCAAGCATATTTTAGGGTTTATTTAGACCCCACAGTCCATATCAAATGTCTGCTTAGCTGCACTGTTTCAAGGTATCGTCCGTGATATAACAAAATGGCACATGATGAAAACGGGCATAGATCTTCCAGTCTGATTGTTTTTCATGGAAATCCGAGTTATTAGTACTGAGGTAGGTGGAAGTGAGTTTGCCACAATATTGATTCCTCCCGAATATGACTGGATATCACATCGAATCATTGAGAGCTTGGCGATAACGAGGTTATTATTTTCTATTTCTGTGTCTGATTGAGGGGACCTTTAAGAGTACCACTGCCAAAACATAAAACTGTTCATGAGAAGCTAGCATGAGGCTGAGCTGTTCGCTTTTGGTGACCTACTCGAACGCCAATTCAGTGCCGTTGTAGAAAACCGGCCAACTCCACGTTCTTGACTGAACAATTCAGAGTAAGTTGTTACTACTCACGAAGGTAACTTTTGGGGGACTGATGATCAGTTCTTTCTCGAGGGATACTCTACATTAAGAGAACGCATTCTTGTGGGAAATGAACATTTACCCAAAGGCGCTCTTTCTTTTGAGATAGGACCCACAACACTCTCGTTGTGCACACACTAAGTGAGCTCGTAGTTTCAAACCAGTCTGCACTGCGAGGGAATTCACCTTCCTATGATGATCCCTTTTGTCGAAATTTATCAAGTTTATGCACATAAACATCTGTGGTTTAACGTCGCAAAAGCTACCAGATAACTTTAACTCGAAGCTCATTTGAATCACTGTGATGTCCTTCCAAACCGATCGAATGAGGACACATACGTATATGGACTTCGAAGTTGTTTTGCAACTCCAAGGCAAAATATTCAGATCAGCGCTATGCACCGTGGGTGGTCGAACACGTGATCTCAGAGGGTCTTGATGCACACAGCACGCCTTGTGTTGTGGATTTTAAGAAACCGGAGTCAGTGTATAGATTGAGTCCCATTTCATAAGCCTATACGGTCCTAAGACCTGAGCATGGTAACTCTCACTAGTAGGATTTTTTCTCAACACGAACTAAGTGGACTTATCTCACGAAGAGTTCTAGGTAGCCGTGGTCAATACACTCAGAAATTAGCAAAGCAAATTACTGCCTCAAGCCACAAGCTTGTCTCAGTGGATATGTTCCGTGGAGAGTATCTGTGGTTCTCTGGTTGTTCACCATATGATTACGGATATTCTTATTTGTAGTAAGTCGCTATTAGTTTACTCCACTTCGCCACTCGGTGATCAAGCAACACAACTTCAGAAAGCCGCAAACCCGTGTTGGTCGCGGGGGGTAAAACCTGATTACCCTATCCAACTGGCCACCGTTATGGTGGATACAGCAGCCATAAAAGCTCATTCTGTCAATCTGTCTGCTCGTCTTCTTATCTATCTGTCTAAGTTTCATATACGAAGACTGCATATTGTTTCGTAGCAATCTGAAGTTCCTTTATCTAGAGGCCAGACCGTATGGAAGTATTCAGAATTCTACGTGCTTTTATGAGTTCCTTTGATGAGCTTGTTGGTGGATCACCAAGAATAACCTATCAGCGTCATGAAGCATTCATCTGATCGATGATCCAGCAGCGAAAACCTGCAGCAAATGCGGGTAGAGCGAACGATAATCCACAACATCTGTGTTGTTTCAAAGAGTACAATTCCAGCTGGTTGTATTTACAAAGTAACCTTTTGAGGGGCTCGTGTACATTTCGCAGGGACTAAAACTGTTTTCATAAGGGAAGAACTGATGAGAGGTTGGCTCAACCTAAGTTTCTTACCCGGATAGTTCGCCATATAACAAGTTAAGCATAGCACAGCTACCGAAAGTAAGATTTTCTATCGACATTGGGGTTCTAGCGAGAAACCGAAGGAGCTAGCCTGAACTATGTCAAATTATGTTTGAACACTGCGTTTCAGTAGCTGTAAATTTTTGTCTCCACGTCTTCGCCACAAAGCACAAATCGATCTCACCACACCACACTTGAAAGTACATAATCATGGCAATGACAAGCTCAGAAAGTAGAAAGCTTTCTGCGATCAAAAAGCCAAATAACTTTGGTTCATTGTACTCACTTTGTTATTCAGGGGACTTACACATTTTAACGTCTTCCTTATCTTCGTCTGTAGTCGGACAATCTGGATGTCGATCGATAGCCCGCTCAACAATGCGCTTCAAAGCTTCACGTGTGAGAACATACCCAGATCCACCAGAAAAATATCCACCTGGACAAAGCCTCTGTTGTGTAAATGTTGAAAACAAGGTCTTGATGAAAAAACTGATTGCCTGTGGAGTGATGTCACTGCAAAGCTCAAGAAAGCACCTAGTTACGATATCTTTTTCTGAGCCGCTGGTTCTAAACTGCTAATTTGGACTGATGCAGCATGGGTTTTTCATCTAAATGACGCCTCGAGTTGGTATGGGCATGAAATCAATAACAAAACAGCGTTCACTTGCAAGATACGGTTCCAATACTCCTTGTGGACTCCATAACTAAGTTGATGGTATATACTGGATTTTATTGCTGGCGAGTCTACATTGTTATGACAATACCTGTTATACAGAAAGCGTCTGAGTATATGCGGCCCTTCCTACCTCGACGCAGTTGGTGTTAATTCGTTGGGCAAACCTGAGTATGAAGCTTGTCGTTCCAGAAAGTTCGCAACAAGATATTTAAGCCTGGAGAGTACATGATAGCCGAAAAGGTTTGTGCTGCGTGGAATGAGCGTTATCATTGAGAACAACAGTGGGATAAGAAATTTTGACTCTTGTTTAGAGTCGAAAAGCGGATGACTGTCTGAGAATGTGATGTCGCCGTTCACGAGGAGTTGGACAGCTAACATCATCAGTACAGCATGAGCCAAACGAACGATTTTATCTGTCCAAAGGCTATGACCTTGAAAACGGAAATTTCAGCGAAACACTGTGACATTTGTTGCATTTTATTCACAGCCCTTTACAATCTCCTGGGGGGAACATTCTACTAATACAGTTGTTGAAAACTCTTCGACCGCCCACCATTGATTTCTCCCTTCTTGAGGCCCATCAGGTAGGCGCAATCCCTGAGTTACAGTCAACCTTATGTTCTACTTGAACCCGAACAAACCATAAACGAGAGATTAACCTGGGTTCCAGGTGAGTCACCCACAAAACAAAATTTGTTTGGGAATGAGTGTATTTTGCTAATGTCGTGCAATTTGGGTCCAAGTAGAACATAAGGTCGACGGAAACTCAGGCGTTTCGCCTACTCGATGAGCCCCAAGAAGGGCGAAGCCATTCGTGGACTGTCGAAAAAATTTCAGCAACTTTATGAGTAGCGAATTACGTCTACACGTTCATCGCGATATTGCAACTATCGTACCAACTGAAACATCAGGCGGTGGTGCAGCACATTTAACTACTTGAAAACATCATAAACAAGAGATTTGGCTGGGTTCCAGATGAGTCCTGCAAAAAGAAATCGGTTTGCAAATGAGTAAATTTTGATTATTTTCAACTAATCAACCGACGAACGTAAAGTCATTCCGAACAAGCAACTCGAGTGTGATTTCTCCGAGCATCCTGTCTTCTACATTGCCCCCAAAATAAAGTGATATAGATGTTCATATGTGGGACACGATTTTGCTTGCAATACTGTTACCAAGTTGCTAGCTATCAGGGAACTTCTGGTTTAAGAGAATTTCATACTGGCAGCTATCAGAAGTTGGGAAAGGCGTCTCTGGAATGTCTACTAAACCCGTTAACGTGTATGAAGGAGTTTTTACCTTTGGTTACAGTCTTTATGGTAGAAACCTAGATTTCGGTAAAACCGACAGAGTTGCAGTTGACTTGAAATCACGAGAGGGTCTTGAAGAAGGGATAATATACCTATTGATACTCTACTATAAAGTATGCTTAACAGATCGACCACATGGATGTGGTTGAACTTTAGTGTGACTATCTAACAGTGTGTCAGGGGGGAACTTGGTCCCGTTGTGTTACCAGATGGCATGAATCTGTAAATTACGGTTTTCGGAGTACACCAGCCGGCTCAATGCATACCTCAGTCAACCGTCACATGGAAGGCTACTGTGCACTTCATCTGTCATGCCATCAAACAGCTCTCCCTTTTCTGAGGTCGTCATTCTCCGACAGGAAACCAGCACATTGTGAAGCCAAATGCAAACACCAGGACAGTTGAGCGCGACACCCATATCTGTGATGACCCCAAGGAATCCCTTAACGTGAGCCTGGAAGTATGGATACTCCAGCCAACTCAAGATGAGGTAGTTGGATTGCTCTTGAGTGTTCTTCCGTCTTAGGCGTAGCTTTATTACTTTTTCTTGTACCTTTTTCCGGGGTTTATATTCTTTTTCAACCTGCGCAACGGCTACATTCGCACAGCATTTTGCATGCTTGTCTGCCACATTAGTATCACTGTATCGTCTATGGCTGGGGAATCGAACATAACATTAATCTGAGTCACAAGAATTCAGAGACCTCATAGGTGTATCTGGTTCAAGAATACTGTCGAAAGTGTAGGATTCAGTTCGGTAGCGGGGCTAGTCAGGGTCTCCCCATCTCAGGGTTTACTTCGTATGGTTACGTTGAATGTTGCAGAAAACAAGTGTCATCCTCAATAATGCTGTCAGCCGCATTTGGCTTTGTACTTTTTCCTGCTGCCTTGCGGCGAAATGACACTCAACAGAGTAGCGCGGTTAGGTGGAGCGGCAGTAACCTGGAATGGAGAGTTTTGCTGGATCAGCTGTTTAACCCTCCGTACAGCAAGGGCTGATCTATGCAAGCTGTATTACATGACGAGGTAGCAAGAGACCTTCCGTGAAACAGTTACGCAGACATAGGGCACTTCAACTCTCCACATCAACATGCAAATCCTGTTCACGAGTTTTCAGCTCTCCACCTACGCTTCTGGTGGGTGGCATTTGCGATGGATTCTTAACCTACTATTTACTTAGCATCACTTCTACCCAGCTTAGCTATATGTCTTCGACTGGCTCACAACCACTGTTATCATACTGAACGACAAAGTAGAGCTTCTACCTCTTACACATGATAAATTGATCTCTTCCCTTCGCAATTTTTTCTAGCGCTAACCGATTAAATGGGAATTTGTCCAGCGAACATTCATACACAGTCTCCTTACCCGTGTTTAATCTCTACACGCATACACCCCTAGCTGTCCCCTCATGACTGTGCTAATCCGCAGTGATCAACTACCAGTGAGCGTCAAGAAATCAGCTGGCAAAATTGATGAAGTGGAAAAAATGCAGCCGGGTCCATGTGGCCGTTGCAACAAGCTGGTCACTGTTGGGATTTCTGCAAAACTTCACACAACCAAACAAACGATCACTACGGGGAATTACCCAACGAGTGAGCCACACACTGACCGCACCACAAAGGGCATGTAATTTCCGCCTCCCATAATGCGCAGTTCGTATCATGCGAAAAAGGGGTTCCGATACTTTCTTTAGGGCCTTCTTAGAGAAAAATTGCACTTGTGCACTGTGATGAGAAACTGCTTTGGGAAGCTGATGATTCGGGTGATCCTAGCAGGAACCGCCTTAAGGTCACGTGTACAATTCGGCCATGCATGGCAATAGGCACAGTCATTCTACTTTAATTTATACTATACAGCACGTGAACCGCTTAGCAGTTATCAAAAGCATCTCACTCACTGTGATTCTAGTACATCAGAAGTTGGTTATCAAATCAGATACGTACCATCCAGCGATAGCCCCACATTACGGGCTCCGAAGGTTCATCTTCAGCGGCAAGAAACTGGCGTAGATTTGACACGAAAGCATAAGTGTCGTCATCGGCCTTGTAGAAGTAGTCATAATCATCGGCAACGTGATAGAGTTCTCGTAGAATTTTCCTCATCTTCACCCATAGATGTGATCGAACTTCCGGCTCTGTCATGTTGAGAACTGGCAATGGGAAGTAGACAAAGGTCTGGTAGAAAACAGTTGGAAACGACTAGAAGCGCGTGAAACAGCGAGCCGCAGAAAAACCTGGTGCAAACTTGTGGCATCTTGTTTCGAAAATCCAAGGAATGAATATGTGGCATCAAGTGGACGCCTGCGGGGGCGCAGGTTGTTTAGTCGAGGCAAAACTTCCGAGAAACTTTGGAGCTATAAAGTAGATCGTAGATCGTGTAAATGGTAAAGGCCTTCTTTTATAGATGCATCACATCGAACACAGGGTAACATGCAACAGAACTTCTGCAGACTTCCGATGCCAGAGAGACACTGGCCACTTCGTTTGTTTAGTCACATTGCACTTTCATTATGGAATCTACCCTACAACTTTCTGTTGGCAGCGGCCAAGGCAATCTGTCTCCACTTTGCAAACTAAAAAATTTAAAAATTTGGGGGGGGGGCATGTAAACGCTTCATTTGGGTACATTTTATTCACAAACAACAGCAGAATTCTCAAAAGTGCCATCCCTCTGGAGAGACTGTCTGCAATTTCTCACTGTCCTAATATCCTAATTGATTCTGTGATGACGATTTTTTTATAAAACTTAACAGTTTGTATTCAGTGAGGTTTGGACCTTCACTGGGAGGAAACAGGTCCATAAGTTCGGTTAAGACAACAGGAGCCTGTGGTTAAGGGCTGGCAACCGGAAGCAATCGTGCTGACGGCACTGGTGCTATTTCTAACAACATCGCATCCACATCTGGGTTCCTTAACCCAGGTTTCCATAGGCTTCCATTCATTTCAGATAGGGCTTCTTAATATGACACAACCCATTTGGTCGAAAGAAACACTGAATGGCCCACTATCATCTTCGTCCCTCTAGACGCATTTCAAACAGACTTGTTCCTCAGAATTTTATCAATCTTTACTCGTAGTTGGACACCAAGTTAAAAACCTGTATCGATGAACACTAATTTGCAAGTTGGTGGTAACGTGTGACCCAACTAAAGTCTAAATGAATCACTCATTTATAACACCAAATCAATTTGCGGTAAGTGTCTATTGCAATGCACGTTCAATTTTTGTGCTCAAGTATGTGGTGAGATTGATGAAAAGATCCACTAGGCGCAAAACCGTTAGTGAGCTTTCCAGGAGTTTTCTACAACCAAATACCGGTCACCAACAAAGACCTAATGACTTTGGGACCAAAGTCTCAAAATCAATCCCTCCTCAAGTTTTTTCTTTCTCTACCAGGGGAACTGAGTTTAGTTAACGGCGTTCTTGTGGTCTTTCTACCCATGTTACGAAAGTCCGGATTAACTCGGAGGATTCTGTCCAATTTAACCAATTGATTCGCAGGAAACTAGGGTTTGACGATAGAATATTTTTTCATTTATTCAGGCAGGACAAATTTACCAAAGTAAAAAAGGTAAGCGTGCAAACGCCCTCAAGCGATAGTGTATTAGTCAGCTGTTCCCAAGTTTAGGTTAGTGCATCCCCAAACTGTGTGTGAGGTAAGTCAGGTGTAGGTGCTAGTATGCTCTTAAGCTACCTATGATAGGGTCTCCAAATTCAAATTATCGATCCTTGCAGTCAACAATTTCGGACTGTCAGAACTTCAAGTGTAATCTGCTTACGGTTTAACCATGTAGTTAATTTGAAACGGATGGTCGAACTGTTCGGTGAGCTGCAAATGTTTCGTCAGCAAACAAGCTGATATCATCGATGTAGCGGTGCGTTGTGCTCTACCAGTGAGTCGATTTACAGGCCTACAACGTTGTCCAGCTAGGCACACTTCAGCCATCAGCTTCACAGCCTGAGCTACCGACGTTCCGTCCAATTTATTGAATCGTCCGTTTTGTGGAGCTGATCCACACGAGCCCAGTTTTTTGCGCATTCCCATGGAATGCAACAACACGGTGCAATAATGTTGGCTCTCGTAGACCTCAGTCACCAGATAATTGATGATATTCGAATAAATGGTGGACATAAAAATCTAAAATAGGGATGGTATCCAGCTTTTCAATCCTCGGTTTCAGAGATTAAAGAGAGTGTATTTTCGAAGTTAGAATTCATAATTCGTACTAAGTTTGACTCAGAAATTCTCTCTATGTTAATATGTAGATGAAGGAGAATTTTTTCAGTTATGCATTCAACCAAAATAAAAAGTCAAAGTAGATGGCAAGGCAGTAAAACGCACGGTAATTTGGTTTAGAGCTATCGATTGAAGCATGTGGTTAACGCGCGCAAATTTCGTACAGTTTGGGTTCAAACAGAATATGGTTGACAGGAGGCGAGGATTGCACCTATCTGACAAGCCCTAAAGAAGGGCGAAACCAGTCACGTACAGTTGAGATGTTGTCAGCTGCCTTGTGAGTAGCGTACTTTCAGGAAAGCGCGACGAACATGTTTTTGTATGACAGGAGGCCTGCCATTTGACGGTACAAGTTATTTAGCGGTGTAATGACACTGATGACATTCCTTGGTTGAACTTGTGATTCTCCACTTCTCAATTGCTTCAACGACGAACTGATTCCGCTTTAAAATCACACTTTTTATCAAGACATCGAATTCGATATCCTCGATAAACATCTCCCGTATCACTAAACTGAATAGCATACGTCATCAGTTTTTTTTCATACACTGTTGGCTGGCATACTCAAGATTATTTGAATATCTGAGGAAAACACCCATTCCGTGCAGGAAATGTCAGATTCCAAACTATTGTTCTCATCATACAAACGAAACATATACAGCCTTCACATAATGTGTCCCTTCATAACTTTATAAGCTGGATTGGATGTTTCCGAGTTCTAACAAACCGAACACACTGGTTGGTCGACCGTGACCCGAGTTCACCTTCAGCCGTGAAATAGCTTAAGGAAATGTTTGTGAACTAGTAACGAAATTGCTATGGTTATGGGTTCACCCCGGTGTCCCTTCGTAGTGAGCTGTCGTTCTCCCAGGCTTTGCATTTACGCATTCCCTTACCAGGTTCGTTAATTCTAAATGCAATGTGGTGCAGAATTTGCAGACCCATTGCGGAGATTTCCAAATTCTTACATGTTGATTTGTCGTAGTGTTCAGGTGGGCCCATTCTATTAAGGCGCTGGACATAACACATGCTCACCCGTATGCACAAACAAACGCATGCACCCATTACCTATCATGAAAGTTTGACTCGTATCCAATTCACGATACAGACTGACCTGACGAGCCGACGATAATTTCGTATTCATCATTTGCTCATGCACCTTCGTAAATCATACTTCCGTATGTGGCATCTGGGACAGCGGCCTGCTTTCTGCATCAGTTTGCCCAACCTTGGCGTGATGATTGTAACTGACAGAAATTATGTTCCATCAGCGAAATGTCACTGTCAAAGGATACAACATGACAGAATGATGAGAACCAGAGCTGTCTGGTGTCCTCAAGCTTGAAAAAACAGTTCAGTGACAAGTATAACGACGGGTCCCAACAAAACAATCTTCAGCCTCCTTAAAAAATGTCCCACTTTGTGTTTACACCCTGAGAACGCCTTCATTTTTCAGTAGCAGTTTCGATTCAAAAGCATACATGTCAAAAATTTGCGGAGGCAACTACCGTTGTGCATCACTGAAACCTACCGGATCAAGGAAAATAGCTTCTAACAATGTTGTTTCTCAACTACTTATACACTACTCATGAGGTTGCTGAAATTTCTCCTACAGCCTACGAATGGCTCCACCCTTCTTGAGGCTCATTGGGTAGACGCAATGCTTGAGTTTCCGTCAACCTTATGTTCTACTTGAACCCGAATTGCACGAAATTAGCGAAATACACCAATTTCAACCAAATTTTGCTTTGCGTGAGACACACCTGGAACCCAGATCAATCTCTCGTTTATGGTGTGTCTGGTTTCAAGTAGGACATGACGTTGACAGAAATTTGGAGACTGCACCTACCTGATGAGAATCAAGAAGGGAGAAATCATTGGTGGGCTGTCGAAGAGTTTCAACGACCTTATGAGTAGTGTATTACGTCTATAAGTGCAACGCGATATTTCGAATAGCATACCAACCGAAACACGAGGCGGCCTGGTGCAGAAAATTCAGTTGCTTGGAAACATCATTAACGAGAGATTCGGCTGGGTTCCAAGTGCGTACCTCGCAAAACGAAATCGGCTTGCAAATGGGTGGATATCGTTGTTTTTGAAAGTTGTCGGGAACTAGTTTGTGGCTCACCATGAAAGGTTGAAATACTTGTTCTCCTTATGTCCAGCTGGTAGGACTTCCGTTAACACCATCTAAAGTTTAAACTAATCTATTTCGTCACCTGACTGGAATTTGGCGTTCACGTACAACATGGGATTAACGGAGACTCCTCAGAGCTTGTACACACATGACGGGCCTAATTAGAAGAGAAACCATTGTGCTGTCAAGGCGCTTTCGATGACCATGTAAGTAGTGTATTCTGTAGGGCACAAGAAATATATAAATCAGTTAGCATGGAGAAAAGATCTTCCCTTTTTGGAATGTTCTTGGTGGGTTTGCTTGTGTGTATTGGTGTTGTCAACACCAATGAACCATGAACTGTTACGCATTCGAGGAGGCCTAATATAACAAATGACTTGGTTTTGATGGCGACTTTAACTAGTCACCTGTTATTCGCTCCTCTCCCGCCGCATAATATACTGGTCCCACAGTTTCTGCAGCTAGTCCCGGCCCGAGGTGCCTTTCCCTTTCAGTTCACGGAGAATCCAAGAGCGTACCAGGATATCCGATGTATATGTTTGAATCGAACATCTGTATCTGGCCTGGTGTAACGGTGATACTACTGATAATGGAGGCATGCGAGTAGTACGTTTTCTTCTAAATTCGCTTTGCGTCTCTTGAAAAAGGAGACCTGTTGCGAATTTGTGGAGTCGCTTTGTAACATTTGCTTGGATTCGAGCAACAGTCAGTGAACAACCAGGAAAGTTCAGGACGACGCGTTCAAGAGAAGTTGCATGTTCAGTTTTTGTAAACAAGATGCATATGAGCGTTTTGCTTCCC